AAAAAAAAAAAAAAAAAAAAAAAAGAGAAAACAAAGAAAAAGAAATAGCCAAAGGAATTCAGAAGCCAATCTGAAAGAGCTCTCATAGCCAAATTTTGAATAATTCAAGCAACAAAACAAGTACTAATAATAATGGGTTCAAATTCAAAAAACAATATACCTAGGAGTTCATACCATTATAAATAAATGATTGAATACATAATAAATAAATTAATAAACAAAAAAGAATCAGGAACAAGTCTTCCTTACACAAGACTTCCAAGTAATTTATAGATATACTATCTCCTGAATGTGGGTTTCAATTAGTGACACATTTGCAAAAAATATTGAAGGAAAAGGGAAAAATAGACACTTTATAGAGAACTCCAGAAAGCAGATAGCATCTTAACCACCTGACCAAGTCTATTATCACCATGAAAAGTCATGTTGCCATTCATGTACCCATTATGTCATGAAACGAGAAGAATGCTTCACTCCTGTAATATTCCTCCAAACCTCATTATCTCACTTCAACTATAAGAACACATCAAGGACAAATTGAGGGACATTCTACACAATACGAGACCAATACTATTCAAAAGTAGCAACAAGATAAAAAATCGAGAAAAATTGAGACTGTGACAGATCAGAAAAGCCTACACGAGGACACTACTGGAACATTCTATGTGCTATCCAGGATTGTTTCCTGGAACCAAAAAAGAATGTTAGTGGGAAAATCTGTTGAAATAAATATAACATCTGTGGTTTAATTAATAGTATTGTATCAGTGTTAATTCTGAGTATGGCAAATCTTCTATGGTTATGCAATATGTAAAATTAAGGTAAATTGAGTGATGAATATACCAAACTTTTTACTTTTGTAAACGTCTGGTAAAATCTTTCCAAAATAAAAGGTGTAAAATAAGCACCCACTCACCAAAATCATAACAAAAACAAGGAATGTAGAAAGAGACAAAAAGGTTGAGGGGTGAGTATCACTGAAAATAGGAAAATTGCATCTATTCACTTAAGTTAAAAATTTTGAAGGGAGTACAAATTTCAGTTATTATGCTACTTATAATTTTATTATCTATACATGAAGCAGTTTTAAAAATAAAATCTTTGTTATTTGCTAAGGTGTTTTATACGGTTTTTGCTAAACATATCACAATGAAAATAACACTGAATTAATGCTTGAATTATACTAGATAATGGATATCATTTGGTAAACTATATTGCAATTTAAAATATATTTAAAATTTAAAAAAACACACACATTAATAAAAATACACAGATATATGATAGAATATTTATTCCAGTAGCATTTAGTTATTAAAAATACTGAACAGAAAAAAATTGTATTATATTACCTTCATATATTTTATATTTTTTGACAAAAAGCATTCCAATTCAGTTTAGTCTCCATTTGAGGTGTTACTTCTTTTCGGTTCATTTTTAACATTAATAACGTACTTAGAGCAGTTTTAATTTACAGAAAAATTAAGCATAAGGTACAAATTTTCCTTAATAATCCCTTGCACATCCCCAACACCAGTTTCTTTTATTATTATTTAACATCTTTCATAGTGCAATACAATTTTTATAGTTGAAGAACCAGTATTAATATATTAATATTAACTAATTTCACTAGGTTATTTTAGGTTTCACAGTTTGTGTTTTACTGTTCTATGAGTTATGACAAATCCATAGTGTATCCACCATGACAATATTATACAGAACAGTTTTGGTGATCTAAAATATTCTGTGTACCAACTCTTCATCCCTCCTTTGCCCCTCCAAGCCCTGGAGATCACTGATGATTTTATCATCTTCATAGTTTTGCTTTTCCCATAATATCATTAGTTGGAATTATATAGTATGTAATGTTTTCAGACTGACTCCTCTCACTTAACAATTTGCATTTAAACTTCCTTCATGTTCTTTCACAGCTTAACAGCTCATTAATTTTTAGTTGCTGAAAAATACCTAGTCGCATGGATATACCATATTTTGTTTGTCCTTCCTATTGAAGGAAACCTTGGTTGTTGCTATAAGTATTTGTGTGCAGGTTTTTATATGAATATAATTTTAAATTTACTTGGTAAACAACTATGAGCATAATTGTGGAAATGAATGGTAAGCTTATGGTTAGCTTTATAAGAAACTGCCAGCATGTCTTTTAAAGTGGTTGTATCATTTTGCATCCCCCGCAGCAATGAATGAGAGTTGCTGTCACTCCACATCCTCTCCAGCATTTGGTATTGTCAGTGTTTTGGGTTTCAGTCACTGTAATTGATATTTTGTGGCATCTCTTTGTCTTATTTCTTAATGACATGTGATATTGAATATATTTTAATATGCATATTTGATATCTGTACAACTTCTTTGGTGAGGTGTTTGTTCACATCTTTTGTCCATTTTGTAATTAAGTTGTTTTGTTATTTTGAGTTTCAAGAGTTCTTACTACATTATAGATATAACTCCTTCATCAGATATATGTGTTACAAATACAAACTTCCGGTCTGTGGTTTGTCTTTGAGGACCTCATAATAAAAATTGTGCTTTTAATCTATGCTAAATGCTACTCAAATATATGTTGGAATACATGGCACCTGGGGATGGGTGGGTGAAAGAGAAAACAAAATAGTACTCTCAAGGCAAACCACTTGTCCTTTATTATTTTGTGTCAGGGTTCATGCAAAAATGTTACATATTAGATAAAAATAATTGGAATTCAGGAAGTTAGTAATGAGGAGATTTTCAAAATACTGTATACATCAAGCTACATTATTCTCAGACACAGGCAAACACATAGGTAAGAAAGATACATATAGAAAATGGCATTGTTTACTGGAAATTGTATATGGATTCAAGAAGTTTTTTTGTTTTCTAAAGAGTTACATGATCTCAAGGTTTCTATTATCTGTCACATTTTATAACATTATGGACCTTATAAAACTTTTATGAAATCTAACAAGGAAATTCATATAAACAGATTTTT